ACTCTGACAGGAGAAAGAGGGCCTGCTGCAGATTCAGACTGCTGTCAGACTGTGTGTGTGTGTGTGTGAGAGTAAGTGAGTGTTTGTGTGGGCCTGTGTGTGTGTTTGTGTGTATAGCCCTAGACTTGGCTACCCTGTAAGAAGAGCTGGTACTCACTCAAAACTACCACATCCTTTTCTTCTCATTTATTATAATTATCATTTTCCAACAGCCCCTCCTTGTTTTTACTCTTGGGCCCACAGTATGTGTGCTTGGTTTGGCTTACACTCTTCTATGTGTCTTTTTTGTTAGTTTAAAAAAAAAAGTTTTTATTGTTGTGAATGGAATTGAATGTTCAGTGCCTTATCATGGCCCATCCCCCATAAGACACCTACACATCCACACACCCGTTTTCTGGTCAAATGGTAATTCCAAGGTAGTAGAATAATTGATACATGAATAAATCATTTTAAAAAGGAAATCATCATCAGCCTCACTCTGCTCCCATGCCCTCCTTTATTAGGACACCAATTTAAATGAATCACCTTAAGTTGTTGTGAATCTTTCATATTGTTTGTATCATTTAACAGAAGATAACACTGCTTACACGCATCTTCACCAATGATCACTACATTTCTAAAGTAAGTAATTTCTGATTAAATAATCAGATTAAGTATCATAAAATAAGGTCAGTATACAACCCGAGGACCGTTACTTCACAAATTTTTTGGTTTGCCTACCATCAGTTATATGAATCAACCTATTCAACAGCCTGGCAATACCAACCGTCTTCACAGGGTTCCCACCACATACTGTATTGCTATTGCTGTACTGTATTGTTATTGTCTGAGTTACAGTAATGGCACTTTACGATCAGCCTCACTCATTGGGTGCCTCTCATTTTCCCAAACCCCAGCTGCAAAGTCAAGGACTGGACAAATGCAAGCTCACCAGAGTGCTGATGTGTTATGCACAAAATACATATGCTCACCGAACAATGAAAAAAAACTAATGTCTGACATTTCATTTCTCTTTTCATTTATGGACAATCTCGTTTTCTGTATGCAACGCTCATTCTCCTCCAGATCACAAGCCTTTCTCACTAGTATTAATGGAGTTCAAAGAACTGTCAAAACACTTAGTCAAACTGAGTTATTAGTTATTGAGATGAGCCTTGGTTATTTTTAAATTTCCTGTATTTCCTCTCAGTTTCTTTCAATTGAAAAGTAAAAATGCAGTCAGGAACGGGGGGATGGTAGAGCACTTAATGTGTTTACTGAAGTGTCGAGGGGAAACTGCAGGATGGTGGGCATGCAGTGGTAAACATGGACAAGGCGGGTGGGTGTACTGAAGAGAAAGATATTTAGGACTGATATCTGAGAGGCATAACCCCAGTGGATCAAATTCATGGTCTCCGCTGTGTATGACGTCCTAACTACTACTACTCTCCACATCTGGGGCAAGAGTGATTCTCCAGCTTGGGAAAGGTTCACTCAAGCACATTAGCCAAAAATAACTTATATACAGCCAGAGAAACACCCAACAAGGATGTTTTGTAGTGCATCCTCAGATGTATCTTTGAATCATTGTCCATGGTCAATTATCTTAAGAAGACAATGCTATCCAATGAAAGGAAGAAATATAGTACTTTGTGTGGTTTATTAAGACATTTCTGGACACCTATTCATTGTCAGTAAAACATTTCTCTATATTGCTGGAGATGGGTTATATTTTAGATTTTATTTAAAATTACAAACACTATTGATAAATACTGAATAACTAACAAAAAAGGTTATTTGGGGGATGTAAACAGAAAGTAAAATATCATGGGGTCAGTCAATCAGCTATAGGATACAACTTGAGGCTCCTATTTTTTAGCTTGTGTTTTTTTATTCATTTTTGCAAACTGGCACCAGTGTAACCACAGATGTACAGAAAACCATCACTGCATTACTGGGATACTGAAGAAAATGTAAAACTGTGATTGTTGTCAGGAAAGTTCTGGAGTCATAAGTGCATCTTATTTTCTATGATTTCCAAGTGGAGTTTTGGGTGTTAATTCCAGATGAACATTTTAGATAAAATATTGGCAGAAACTGACTTGTTTGTAGGATATCAGCCCGTGCCTTTTCTCCTCTATGTACTGAACACGCTTTTTCAATTCATTCAGATAAACAAAATGAATGTAGACTGAAACAAAACCAAAATACTTGGCAAATGATTCATTGTCAGTTTCCAAAAATATTTCCCCACCATCTGCAGCAATATTCAAGTGTTTCTCCAATGACGCACTGTAATACATTACAATACAGTTGTAACTGTTTATATATTGGAAATGTATAAATGTATATCCTTTACACTACTACTAAGTAGGTTGCACTTAGTGTTTATGTACCTACCATGGTCACTGGGCTCCACTGTAATTTGAATTTCTCTCTTCGATTTAGTCTCATCTCATCAACCAAGTTTTATCCTGCCCTATTTTAGTAAGAGGATAGGACAAAGAAAAAGAAAAGACTATTAACAGCCTTTTAAAACATACTGGCTGAAAAGTTTGTACTCCCTTTCACCTGTAAACTGAATGTGTTGGGATACAGACATGAGTCACAGTTTATGATATGGGCCAAGTGTGTTCTCAATGAAGGAATTTGACTTGCTGGAAGTCGACACATTTCACAGTTGAGTTTTGAAACATCAATAGTGTTTTGGGATGGAAAAAAAAGGAAATCTACAACATTTTACATTGGATTTCTCTGGAACAATACATTTTTTTTTGTTCAGACTGAATTTGCTCAAAAACAATTTGATGGATTGCCATCAAATTTTGAATTGACAGGCATTATTTTCAAATAATAATATATGCTAGTTGTACACTTCCCCTACCTACTCTTTATTAAGAAAACCATGATAATACTGGGTCTCAAACAGCCTCAGTTTTTGATGCCATTGATTCCACAAGATTTTGTAGACTTCACTCCAAGATTCTGCTCCATGTTCTGCATCACACCATTTCTGCAGATTCACCAACTGCATATTCATACTGCTAATCTCTTGTTCTACCAAATAACATAGGTTCCCCTGGATTTAGCTCTGGTGATGGTAAAGGTCCAGAAGTCCTCTGAACTGACTGCCATGTGCTTGACACCATTTTGAGACTTAGTTTGTGACATGGAGCATTATCCTGCTGGAAGTAGCCACTAGACGAAACTGTGGCTATTGAGGGAAAAACATGGTCAGCAAAAATACTCAGATAGACTGTGACATAAGAATGATTGATTGAACTTCCCTCACACCATCACACCATCTGAACTGTTGACACAAGGCAGGTTGTCTTCATGGATTTATGTTGTTGACTCCAACTTGTGACTCTTCATCTGCAGCCTCAGCAGAAATTCAGATTCATCAGACCAGGCTACATTTTTCAGTCTTCGAATGTCCAGTGTTGGTGTCACTGCAGCCTCAAATTTCTGTTCTTGGATGACAGGAGTGGACCCTGTAGTGGTCTCTGCTGTTGTACATCATCCAACTGAAGTTTGAGTGAAATCTGTTAAAACCTCAGAAGAACATAGTGCACATTTTCTTATTGTTAGCAAATCCCAGGAAGACTAAAAGCCAAAACCAACAATGTTTCAGTCTTACTCTCAATACTGTCTGACCTTAAGCAACAAGCCTGTTGTTCCTTACTGAAGTTATTATAAATGCTCAGACTCTGGTCAATATATTGTCAATTTTAAAATTAGAATGGCACTCAGTAGAATGCATATTTCAGATTATAAATCAGTTCCCTGTTTAAAATGTGGTAGAGGGAGAGCTGAGAATGACAGAGAGCTCCCACTGGACACAAACACACCTTTGTTCTGATCCCGATCCTGTGTGCCTGTAAAAAACATGAATGGCCTATCTGACACAACTTGTAATACAAGTTGGTAGTTTTTCCTCACCCTTTTTGAGGGTGAAGCACAGATGTTGCTTCTTGTTAAAACCTGTGAGATTAATTGTAATCTGAGAATATGGGCTATACAAACCAAATTTGGTTGATTGATTGATGAGCAATTCAGAGAAAATCTAAATTATCAAATCAACTTCCCTTATTTGTTAACTCATTATTTAAGGATCCACTTTAGGTTGCATGGACACTACTCCCCACAAAGGGTGCCTATTCTGTTCTGTTTCTTACTTGCTTGTTCAATGTCATGGTCTTCATCAGCACAATGTTAGAGTGACCACTGCATTTCTTGTCAGAGCTGGCATTAAAATTGAGAGTTTATACTTGATCTCTGAAACAGAAGTTGACCCTAACCCTAACCCAATCTCCTCAAGGTCAGCTCTTTGTTTGTTTTGAGGGTAGTGGACAAGAAATATAAAATATCTCAGACACACAAAGGAATTAAACATTTTCTTCCTAATCTGAGTAAAAGAAGGTTTATTGTTAAGGCTGGGGACTAAAAAGGAGGGATGGACATTTGAAATGGACGGCCTTGTGTAGTAAAAGTAATGTTTTCAGTCTTTACAGTTGTAGGTTTGAGGGAGATGAGCCTTGATTCAGGTGTCTATTGCCAACAAATTGTCAGTCGCATTGTAACTGTGCTCTTCAAAGACTCAGCTGACTTATTCTTCTTGGTAAATCCAAACTCTTTTCCTCCAACCTGGCGATACTGCTGTCACTTATTATTATTCAGAAGCTGGATTGTATTTCTTGCTCACTGAAACACTATGCAGTATCTATGTTGAGCTTGTGAGGAGAAGCTTGAATATCAGATTATTTGGTGATATATCTTCAGTAAGCACCACAAGGCAGATTTAGACAGTTGCCTGATGACATAAATCCTCAAACTCATTTTGACAGCAACATGAAAGATATCTGACTGAAAGTTTCATTAAAAGTGTAAAACACTTCTGGCATACATGTGCGTACTAATTGAGACTGAAGTGAAATTGTCTGTCTCCCATCTCACAATTTTAGGAAGCCCCTTCTCAAATCCCTGGATTAATTGTGTTTTTTCATTTTGATGATTCACAGATTTGGATGAGTGCCAGCTGCAGGGTGTGTGTCCCAATGGAAACTGTCTGAACACCGTGGGCAGCTACAGGTGCATGTGTAAACCTGGCTATGTCCCAGACCCCACACTCAGCACTTGCATACGTAAGATCTACACTCTAATATTTTCTGTTACATTTTCTTTCTGTCGTCATTGCATTTATCATTGATCATCAAACTCAGAACTCAATTAATTAATTAATTAATTAATTTGTTAATTAATTAATTAATACATTACATTTGCATGTCTTCCTTTAATGTGCAAATTAATAATTTAAATATGTTCATATAAGAGTGGCATCTTTGCGATCATATTATGACAGAGGATATTTCATTGATTTTCCTGGATACCTGCTCCAAAGTACGAGCAAGATAGCAAAGGCTGCTAGGAATGCTGCTAAGACAAATTTGTGTTTCACAATATACATATGAATGCAGTGCATGGATAAACGCATGGTGTTCCTTTTATACTCCGATGCGGTCCCTAGCATGTAACACAGAACATAAAAACCCAGCATTAATATAAGGAGGTAAAGAAGAAGAAACAGTAGGAAGATGTATTTTGAAGTAAAGCAGCTCCGGTTGATGATTAATCAGCTGTACTCCTTGTTATTTTCTTTATATGTTGTCTTTCCTGGTTTTGCAATGTATATGTGTTTGTCTGCGTACTATACAGTGTTGTCGCAGAGTCACTTAACCTCAAGCCTGAGTTGAGGCTTGAGTCCCGAGTGTTTCAGTCCAAGTTACTAAAGAAATGTACAAGTCTGAGTCGGGTCCATTACCCTTAGTCCAAATCACTGGGTTGAATTTAATGTCAAATCCATGAAAGTGTAGCGCACAATTTAGGGTGTCTTTAGGCATCTTAGCACTAACTGTTACTGATGATATGCATGTGAATCAGCATGTAGAGTGGTGAACACATTTCCCTGCCCTTGCATGCAATTAAATGATATTACATTATTAACATAAGATATCAATATCAAATGAAAAATGATTATGCCTTGACAGAAAAGTTAGAGTCTCCAACTGCAAAGCCTGTATCCAGTCAATGCTTTTGTCTGAATGAGGGTCCGAGTCATTAGAGCTCTGGAACTGGGTGATACAGCACTGGTGGATGTGTGATAAGTGTAAAGGGATTGGGGTTCGTGTCTTGGTTTGCCAAAAGTATGGACTTGACAGATCCGAGAGAATGAAGCTGAATGCGTAAAAATTTAAAAGATTGAGCAAACTAAAATAGCCTATAAGCTACTCCACAGAGACATTCAGGAAACAGCTATGGGACAGAAGAAGGCCATACAACATTTGAAATAATTGTGCATGCTGGTTAGCCTCTCTTCAAAGGAAGGTGAAAAGCCTGTTGTCAAAATGTAAACCTGAGTCACCAATCTCTCTCAAAAACAGAAAAAAAATCTAAAGGCAGTGATGGAGTGTATATTAGGATAATTGCTCCTCAAAGGTATTTATGCTATAACTCTCTGGTAAAAAAAATGCTCCATGATTTTCAGATTTATGAAAGTCATAGAAATCTAGGAAAACCTGGTCTTTTTGTTCTCTTACCTAAATCCTGATCTGACAATGACTTACTGCAGGATGCTGCAATCACCAGAATGTTGTCTAGCAAATATGCTGCATTAGGACCAAAAAGCTTTATTTTTGAAACATTTTCCTCATGCTTTCACAATCCTTGTGTCCAGGTTACCAAACTCAAGTTGGCTGCCATTTACATTTGACCATAAAGGTCACAGTACTGCAGGGTTAGATTTTCTCTTGGTAGATTTGACCCATTATTTCCAGAAAATCCCGGCTGTTAGAGACCATTGGTGTTTTTAACCTACTTGAACAAGGCCCTCCTTGCCTATTTACTTATTTTGGCCAGATGACATATTGTTGGAAGTGTCTCAGTTTAAACTAAATGTAGTTTAAATTACTCCTGGGAACTTTAAATATTAAGGATTTGTAGGCCTTTCCCAAGGACTATGGCTTGACATAATTTCATTGTGTAAAACTATGTTGATGTTTATGTCTATATTGAAAAATAGATATTATTGAAATGTGGATATTTCTAATGAAGCATTGCATTTGTTCATGCAGGACACAGAGGCATGTGCTCAGCTGTCATAAGCTGTCAGCTACTGGTTTATGTTTGCTCATCAGTCACCCACCAATCACAGCCCATTCTCCCAGCAAAGCATTCCCTTTAAATACAACCTGATCCTCACTGATCCCTGCTCAGCTACCCTGCCACTCACGCCCTGCTGCCGGCAACTTACCTCCACCACCCCAGCCTCCACCTTTTAGATCTGAGTCCAAACATGGTCGTGGTTAACGATATTCATCTTGAACAAATGCATCTTGCCTGCTACACCCAACAGGGGGTTCTGCACATCTTCCCTGTTCTATTTTAGCATGCTTCTCGGCTAATCCAGGGAAGATACAAGGAATGGAGCCTTCAGCGCCAATCATAACTGTATCCCCATTGAGATGGGTAAATCAGGTGCCCCTGACTGAAACTATATTCTTGTCATGTATGCACCACAAGGATGATCAAATGAATCAGGAACTATGAAGGCATTTTGTAATTTTTGGGGAAATACACCTATTTGCTTTTGTTCCAAGGGCTCATGACTGTATGTTGCTAGAGCAGAGGAGGAAATTGGCCTACCTAAGCAAAAGGAATGGATTGGGGGATAACTGTCGCTCTTTTTAAAAGTTTATTAATTCATCTCTAAAAGTCTACACCTGGCAAACTGCACTACAGTGGAAGAAAGTACTGGGTGGATGAATAAATTGTAGTTTGTTAAAAGTTCAAGCCCATAACTTCCCCCGAAACCAAAAACACTGACAATGGTTGGTCAGTTTGGTGGTCTAGAGTCCAGATCTGAAAGAGAGGAGCTGTCTCATTTCGGCCCACTTTTATGTAGCACATTAGCATGACAATCAACCTAGGATGGTGAAGATGGAAACAAATTGGTAGAGAGGGTCAAACCATGGTTCAATCCCAGGCTCCCAGATTCTACGTGCTGGGGAGTCCTGAACTAAGTACTGAACCCTTAATTGCTCCGGAAAGCTGTGCAAGCAGTGTGTAATTTATGTTTGATAGAGGAAGTGCTGCCATTAGATGCACTGTATGGATCCGTGCCAGAATGGGTGGATGGCAAACTGTAGTGGTCATCAAGACTAGAGAAGTGCTACATAAATACAGACTATTTATTAACTTGCACATTACAAATATAAATTGCTGGTAGGAGTATTTCTAGACTTTTAACAGGGATGGGCTAGCGGTTTGCTTCTGCACTCAGGTTTTATGCTAAGCTAGACCAACCTCAAAATGTTCTCATCTCACTCATAATACGAAATTGTAATAGAATATTTCTCCAAAAATGTTTTCTCATTAGGTTTTAATGTAATTTTGAATAGCAAGGTGGTGCCACCTTCAGATCTTTGTTGGACTTGAGCAGAGGGCAGTGTGCACACTTACAGTTACAGCTGTGCTGCACTGATTGATGTTCACCACGACTGGTGTATGCTTGACGAGTGAATTTAGTGTTGCAGAAACCTGGCTTTGGTAATTTTTTAGTATTGTAGAATAAAGTGGCAGTGTGGATATGCTCCTTCAGCTGATGTGAGTTCAAGTGACTAAGCTAACTTGCTATCCTGGGATTCATTTAACTACATGCATCTTGTTCTACCTGCAGTAATTGTGTAGGAAAAGTAACAAGTATTATAAATGCTAATCAATGTGAAACACAAGGTGAAAAAAATTGCTAGTGTTGAATTAATGAAATTTACGTGGTCAGGGAAAGACAGTCTGTGTGGAGTTTGTCATGGGTGGTAAGACTGCAACTCTTCCACCTTGTCTCAACTTTCCCCAGAAAGTTTGTGAATCATGCCCACATGGTTTGCTGGACACCACCTCGACTGCCAGCAGTTCAATAATGGCATTCACTTACTATCTCCTAACTGATTTTATCAGGTAGGGGCCCAGAGAAAACTAGTTTCTGACTAAAAGGAAAACTCAAGGATTCGGAAAACACAGACCAAGCCAAACCCTCCTGCATGCCTTAATCTGAACACCTTACTTTGATAGTGCATGAAGTATTGGCATGTTTGTGTGTGTGTGTTTCTTTCCTGCAACATATTGTATGTGCTTTGTATGTCTGTATTTTACGTTAAATCTTAAACTGTTTGATTGTAGTTGTTTGTGCCAACGCAATATTTAGTACCCCCACTTCTCACTGTAAAATATATGTTTTTTTCATTATGCAGTCTGGTGATTTAGAAAAAAGTCTAGTTTCTATACAGGTAAGAAGGGAAAACATTTTGGTGAAGGGGACCTCTTTATTTCTCCACTCTGTCCTCTCTTTCTCCCATGTATATGTCTCCTACACTCTGGTGCACCACTTCCTACACCTCCCCCTCCTCCTTTTTGTCCACCTCCTGCGCTCCTCTTCAGCCGACACTCCTGCCATCCAAGAGGAGAAGGGGGCTTGCTTCCGTTTGGTCAGCTCAGGGAGACAGTGTTTGCACCCAGTTTCTGCCCAGCTGAGTAAACAGCTCTGCTGCTGCAGTGTGGGCAAAGCCTGGGGCCCTCATTGTGACAAATGCCCCCCTCCAGGAACAGGTAAGGCCTCCAGCCACATCAGACATTCATCCTGTCTTAGTGACAATTAAAGGCCCCAAAATTATTATGTCCTTGCAAATGGAATACCAAACACCACTCACTTATCTTGCAGTTTAGTTTGGCCTTGCAAACAAGACACTGACCGTGATGGACGGATTGTTTTTGGCTGGAATGATTCAAAAATTAAATAGCGTTTCCCTCAGGATGAGTTTTAATATTGTGGTCATCCTTTTACTTTTCATCTAGAACCATAATCAGGTCAAGTTCAGTGTTTTCAGCATCAGCTCTACGAATCAATACCTTATCGACCACATTGTGTTGAGTGTTGCATTGTCACGCAGACTGATAATATATATCGTATATAGTATACATATATTATATAAGTATAAAATATCCATAGGTTAACATGTTAAAGTGACATAAACATTTATTGCCAACATGGTCTACAGATGTCAAGACAAAAAAAGGCACAAAGACATTTAACAAGAACTAATCTAAAAACAAAATAATCTTCCTGATAAGTACCATCAAACCCTAGAATTGAAAAAAAAATCCACATCAACAAGAAAAGGTTGACATAAAAATGTGATGCATATTACATCAGAAATCTGTAACCCTACTCCATAAAAAAATCTAGACATGACATGAAAAGCTCCTCTTAGATTTGAGAGCTTGATTTGCAACAGAACGCTATTCCACAACATGCCACCAGTGTAAAAAAATAATATTTATGAGAAAACCTATAAGTCATGTACCCCAGCTGCATGTTCAATGTCCAATTTAATAAGCCACAGTGGCCGTTTGAGTTCGTGTTCAAACATACAGTCACATGTAGTACATGAGATGCTGTTTATGTCCGAGGTTGATGCTGGTAGAACCTCTCAAAGACTGAGTGAGTACTACACAAACAGAGATAAAAGTAACCTGTCCGAATTTGTAAAAGCGTTTGTGAAAGAAGCAAGGATACATAAATTGTTGTTTTTGTCAGATAATATTATCATGATGGTTTCATAATATGGTAATCTTCTGTCTTCACATAATATTTTTATAACCAAAAAAGAAATATATGTATAATCTATATTTTTTTATCCAAGTGTTGGTTTCAAATTGATTTAAATTATGGAGTAGCACAATGTAAAAATAGTTACCCTCAGAATGAAGAACAGGGTTTCACTGAGTACAATAGAATAATAACTTCCAACAAGTCTATGACTCTGGAATGTAATGCTAACCATTGAGACATGGAAGAATAAAGCCATCATCGATTTCAATGTAAGCCCATTTTCAACACAGTACAATGCAGTACTGTGTTGAAAATGTTTTCGAGCAAACAGAAACCAATGTGTCTCCGGTACTTTTGTTTATCACTTCACCTCTAAAGGCCTATGAATACATGTTCAAAAAGAAAGAAAGAAAAGATCTCTCATTCTTTTATCCTGATTCTTTTTACCTGCATGGGTTTATCAGCTTGGCTAAGTAGTTGCTTTTAGAAAATAAGCAGAGCCTTTGTAGTAGCTATTTTCACACCTGATTTTACAACTTGCCTATATATCTTTGTTTCCACTCAACTCATCGTGTCATTAGAGTTTAGTCTGACAGTTGTTAATTTCAGGCATTGCAGTTTGGTGCATTCTGAAAATGCATAGATGCATATGCATGTAAACGGATTTAACATGGTTTGGCTGTGTCATACTTGTCTTCTTGTAAACCTCATATTTTGTCAGTAATGTGCTGCATGGCAACGTGTGAGGTTTATGTGGAATATACACAATACATTTTGGCCTTAGCTGTGTTTTTTGTAGATCAGATGTAAAGCAACAATAAGTTATTAGATTATTTATTAAAATGAGGTCACATAGAAAAGGGAAAGTGATTTGGTTCAAGAGGTAGTTCAGGAGTTTGGGAGAACTGTTTTCCAATTTCCCAGGGTCAGAAACCATTAAATGCTTTTTGAATGACCTTGATGCAGACTGACAACCAGTAATATTAGTGTATATTATTGTGGTTTCTTTGGGAGCTCAGCTGGTCAGTCTGAGCACATTTGCTTGCAGCTAAATGCAGATGTGACACCAGTTTTGGCCTTCAATAATGATATGATTCAACGGCAGACAGCTTTGCTGTGAGGGGACTGTGACTTTCATCAGGCTGCCCCCTCAGAGGCAGGCAAAAAAAAAAACAGAGAGAAGAAAGAAGAAGTGGTGGGAAAGGTTGAGGACTGAAAAGTTGGCTAATTTCTATATGATCTTGGGTTGTACTAGCTTGGTACTTAGTCTTTTTAATTCTTTCTGTGGTGTCTCTTGTCAATTTCTTTTTCCAAGCTGACAAAGCTTGGGCAAGTTATATGCTGGTGTGTTTAATTGGTCATTGTCTTTTAAGATGTCCATTCTTGCGAGAAGTAGACTAGGAGCTGTGCAAGTTTGAGCAATTTTATGTTCAGATACAAGCCAAAGGAAGGCCAGTTAATACATAATGTTGTGCTCACTGGTGTGTGTGGTTGGAGATGGCAATATAATTCATGGCAGACAAAGTGAGTGTAAAATGCAAGAAAACTGTAGGTGATTAGGATTTGTGGGTTGGTGAGGGGTCAGTTTGTTAAAATCACCTGCTTAGATAATAGGTGATCCAGGTAGTTCTGTTACCTCTAAAAACTGTGTAGATCATGCTGAGTGAGTCTGCTTGGAGCTACATGGTCTCACCCAAGTTTTCAATTACGGTAAATTTTCCCCAGGGATCTACTGTAGACATTCTGTTCATGAGGGAGCATCTCCCCTTGTCTATGAGTTATAGTACACACGGTATGCTACACAGTGTCAGAGATTCTGTTGCAGCCATATTTCTTGAAGTAGATATATGTTTGTTGAAGTTATCTGCTTCTTTTGGCAGCAGAGGTAAAACCTCAAATGGTCCAAGGGACTAGTTTAGCAGACATAATTTCTGGCTGAGGAGACTTGTTGACTTTGTTTTGCATGGTCTAGGGCTGCTTCCCTGATATTTTTCTGCAGGGACAGTTCAAAGACTGTTATGTATGTATACACACACACACACACACACACACACACACACGTAATGGAAGGTCCTTCTCCCCCAAGCCAGTGGTCTTTGGCAAAAGCAATGTTGTTTATGGTTTCCTCCTTCTTGTTTCATTATTGATTCATTAATCTCCCCTTTATAATAAGACACTCTCAGCAGTCTAATTTGGAGGTTCAGCAAATCTTCCATTCCGTTATGTTCTTTATTGCAGATCTGTTGACAGTTTAATTTTCCCATATTCATTGTGAGAAAATGTATCCATCCTGGTAAAGAGAGAATCCAGGAACACCTTCCTCTGAGAAAAAAATGGACAATTACAAGCAGCTGAAATTGTACATCCTGAAGATAATCGATTACACGCAGAGAAGTGACACATTTATTATTCAACTGTTGATTCTTAGGAATCACATGAACTTGAGTCAGTTGAAATAGGATTGGACATACTGAAGTTGTAACTTTAAATTCAGATTCACTCTTCCATTAACGCTTCAGTGGTAATAAAAGGATTCTGCCAGGCGTAGTTTCTTATGTTGTCCTGTTATCCACTTTCCATCCCTATGTCTCAGTGAGGAGTTCTCAAATACAGCAGAGCCATTAATAGGCAGCCCTGCCAAATATCTTATCACATGGGAGACGTGGTTTGTATTTAGTTACCATAGTTGAAATGAAGAGAAGAATCATCTGAAAAAGAAAGTGGAGATTTATATTCTGAATAAAGTTAGGGTCCATATGAAATGTTGAGTTCACTAAAGGAATCATGTCTTCATCTTAGTCTTTTCATCAGGAATATCTTTGTGTAAGATTAATCCTTGAAAGTGTGCACATTTTCTTTGGTTTTGTTCCTTGTAAGTAATTTTTAGGGACTCAAATGATTATTTACTGGTTCAAATTGTATAAACAATTTATCATTCCAGAGAAACTGTCACCAAAAGCTTTTATGACAGATACACAAGTAACAATGTCAACATGTGTAGAAAAGCAGTTTTTGCACTTGAAATGTTCGTGTTTGATAACCAGTTGTATCTTTCTTATCCAGCTAAGTTCAAAGAGATCTGTCCTGGTGGAATGGGCTACACTGTTCTCCCAAATCCACCTGTCAATAAGCCAGTCACTGTTTACCAGCAGCCCATTGACCTGCAACCCCCCCAGCCCCTGCCAACGCCGGAGAGACCAGTGGAGGCTTTTGGGAAACCAGAGGAGATGATACCAGGTGAGCATTTGTTGTGTAACTGTACCAGTGCATGTTGAACATTGTTAGTTTAACATCACATGTTTAGTGCTGTTGCCTAGCACAAACTAGATGTTTGCAAAATGTGTAGTGTTTGAAGAAGACGTTCTTAGATTTAAATTGCCTTAAAAGCTTGGTGCACTTGCATAAAACTGAATCCTGGCCTTGTCAGGATTGCTATGGCAGCAGGGTGAGTCAGACAGCCCAAGCATCTTTTTACCAAGGATTTTCCTCCAGCTTCTCCTGGGTGTCCCCAGGAATTCTTGGTGCAGCTGGGAAAATTTTCTTCCTTTAGTGTCCACGAAGGTCTCTCCCACAAGTCTGTCATGCCCAGAACATTTATAGAGGAAGGTTGCCAGGACACTAAACAGTTACCCACACTACATCTATTGGGTTCTGTCAGTGCTAAGGATTGCACAGAGAGAAACCTTGCATCACAGCAGCTGACCGTATGTGACACAGTTACACAGTCTTGTCTCATTATGACTGAATGAATAAGACTCCTCTTGCTATTACTCTGGGGACCTCTCTGCCTGCAAAAACACAGTGTCCTTTGGTCTTTCAACTCTTAACTCTCAACCCTTTATACAAACATCAAAACCTAAAGATGCAGCAATTATCCTCCGTTGATAACAAATACTAAAGCTGCTTGAAGCAAATGTTAAATATATTTGCTGAGCGCCTGATTATTAAGTGCTAAACCCCTGGTTCAAAGTTGAAATTCTTAAAAATACATTTGAAATAATTTTGTCCAAGATGAAACCTGTGAACTGCCTGTTGACAATGGAAAAAAAATCTGGGTGCAGCCAGTTTTACTGAGCTATAGGTTAATAATCACTGTTTTATTAAGTTACTTAACAGAGACATTTGGTCAAATGCAAATTTCAGCTTTTGTGATTATTTCACACATCCAAATTCAAACCTGATGTGGAAAAAACTACTTAATAATAACGACCTAAACTGTCATTTTATTGATCAGTTAGGTTATTGAGGTGATTTATTGCATTTCACTGACGTCAAGGGAGTCAGGCTAGTGTTGTTGTTTCTTAGACTCCTCCCAGAGCAAAAAACTAGTCTTATTCGGTTAATTATGGACTATTGTCTTTGAAATAATAAGACATGATTATTTTTTAGCTGTACATCTAACTTTTAAGTGTCCAAACACTGACTGACTGTCAAACAAATCATATTTAAGGCAGTTCAGAGGGGACATTTGTCATGCTACGTGTGCCTTACTATAATGAATGAACCTGTTGTTTGAAGTGTAGTTTGAATTTATCACTGTCACAATGCCAGTGCCCCAATTCCGAAAGTCTACACTGTTGGATGAACAGCAATCTCACTTCTGCAAATTACAGCTTTGAAAGAAAAACACTAGAAGTCATGATTTATGATCCCTCCTGCACATGATTAGGAACCCAGATCTTAAAAGAAATGTCCCTATTTTGACATTTGTTTGTAGAGGACAAGGATTAAAGTGCTTTGGCCCACTTCACATTCCCTTCAAACACAACCCAGCCCACAGGCCTTCAAGAGAGGGACCGAGAGGGGGAGAAAGACCTGGCTGAGAGAGGGAAAGGCGCTTCAGCCTCTCCTGTTATTATTCAGGACATGCTTGGCAGACATCAAGGGAAGGAGAAACTGTGCAACATCTTAGCCAAAGCCAGACAGAATCCAAATTGCTGCTAAGCTTCTCTGGAACAGAGGAGTACTGAGTTTTCCAGGCACACAGGACAGGCCTTAAAAACAATCTGACAGAAATTTACCACCCAAAACCTGCGTAGATTTGTGTTTGCATACAAGCAGAAAGTAATATGGCGCCTGGCAGCCATATAGATTGGGATTGTGGCACCGCAGACAATTGTTGTGGGTGGGAGGAAGAGAGATTTTTTTTTGTTAAACCTTACAGCTGATAAATGTATATTTATATTATGGTCTGCAATGTTTATGACCTTTTCACATCATGAAACTGGGCCAAGTTAGCAACATTTATTTATGCAATAAAGGTGAGTCTCATAGTTGATATCAATCACAAATGACCATGTCTTTGTGCTCGATATATAGATCATGGAGGAACTTTGTTTTTCTTGCGATTACAGAAGAGTTAAATCAATGAATTTTGTACATTTTGAAATTAGTCACCTAAGCTATTGTGTTAGAGCTAATGTGACTCAAAGGGATAGTTAGCCAAAAAAGAAAATACCAAATCCAATACATTTGAAGTAACTGGAGACAGCGTCCTCAAACGTAAAAAATGAAATGCCTCCAAGTCATTAATTGTCATCCAAGTGTCCCTAAGTCCTGATATTCAAATTTGCCACGAAACAGCAAATGTGAGAAGGCTATCAGAGGACATTTAGGCTAAAAACATGGTATAAATTATTATTATTATGTTGTTTCAAGTCGAATTTGAACGTCTGGGCTTACGGAAACTTGATGACACCACACAAGCAGCATCAGTTATTTTTCTATGTTTGAAGACGTGGTCCCCCAGTTACTCAATTGTATTTTATTTGGCTGCAACACTGTTTACCCCTGAAACTCCAGAAGTGTTTTGTGGACTCATACACTTCACCCACCCCTCCATCTGCATAGTGGTGAGTAGATAATGAGTGAATATTCATTTTTCAGAGAACTATCCCTTTAAATATATTGGAGAGCTAAACGATTGTCCTGGCTGACACGTAGGCCTACATTACGAGGAACGCAGGCCTTGTATTGATTTTGACACGATTCCACAAAGACCATTCTGCTTCCTCTAACTTTCAAATACTCAAACATTTTCAAAATTGTGGTTGTAGTAGTCCCCAACAAATTTCCAGTTACACCAATGCTAAAAATTGCTCCAGAGGCTTTAGAAAAACAATCAACCCATTTTATAAAATGAAACTTTGTATTTTTGCCCCACTTTTACAGCTTAACTCTTTCACTAAGAACCAGGGGAAACGGACTGAAAGTCGCTCTGCACAATGTACAATATCCTGTTTCCTACACTTGGAATAACAGTTTAAATTGTTACTTAAAACATAAATTAAAATTTGCCATGATCAATAGAAGCGATGTACGGTATATTATGTTACAAACCGACACTTTTGCTTGTTTTTCCCCTTTGGTCAGTAGCAACAACTGCACCAGATCAGGTAGGTTGGGTGCTTTCAACAGCCAAACTGTAGAAAGTGTGCATGCACAGACACACTCCCCCAGCCACTGAGGGGTTGCGGAATCACCTTTGCATGAAGTCAGCGACATTGCTGCATGACTTTGGCTGGTCAGCACAAGGCAGGAAGTCAGAGTATGTGTACCTTTGATGTGCATGTGTGTATGTAAGCAGCAGTAATAGATGGACTGAAATCCTGGACTGCGTTCCAAAGAAATCCAGACAGAGGTCTGTGCAGAAGCAGCAGGCAGTCTTTGCTTCCTGGCTTTGCTCTCTGAGCTGTTCATTCTTGCTTTGTTATTAAACTCCAGTCGAGTTGCCATGCAAGCTAAATGCTAATCTGCTTCCAGGCACAACATCTGTTTTGCATGTCAGACAGTGTGCAAAGCTTAAATGATTACTTTTGGACCTCAACATATGCATACAGTGCTTTGTTGACCTTGTCCCTCTGGTATTATTGTTTGTCTTTTTGTTGAAGGAGCTGATAGATCCTGTGTTTAGTGATAGGCCAGTAGTTGAACCTATCCTGCCCCAGCTATCTCCAGGTGTGTCCACTGTGAAGATGGAGGCAGCCTACCCAGGTGTCTGTTTCTCTACCCTTTTATTCTGTGCTACAGTGGCCAGATATAGGCTGTCAGTCTCACTTGTACTCAAGTTTTTTTTTATAGTTTATAAGAATCCTAACATGAGCACACATAATTTAAGCTTAATGTATTATGAAAACAAGTCTCAATCTTGCTCAATGATATTTTTACAGTGGCAGTAAAAGTTGTTTTATAATGTATAAAATATGTAGTGTTTTATAAATGTAACCCACTAATAAAGTCTTAACACATTACAAAGCTTGTTGAGGTTGGAATGGAAACATTCCTCACAATGATGGTTACAAACAAAAACTTGTCAACACAACCATGAAGCATTATTGCACGCACACTTAAACGCATACATACATATGTACCTAAGGATTGTAAAACGTCTTATTAGTGACAGAGTGATATGCTAGCATACATGAGGTGCATGTTCTCAGTACACAAGAATGTTATCAGGCTTCACTCACATTTACTCCATGTTCCTATTTTCCTCAGTCATCCAGTTTGGGTGATTACTGCAGTCTGTTCCCAGGAAAGTGTTCTACTATTACAAACCAACCACTTAGAGGTTCAAAGCCATTGTATTGTATTGAGTCCTTCTTTGCATAGCTGTAGCCTTGGTTATGTATGGTCCTCTGCTCTCATTATGATCAGTGTGTTTTCATCCAAATCTGCTGCAGACTCTGTAGTTTTGCCTCACTTTTGGTGAAGCCAAAGGTTGGAAAAGTTTAGCTATCTGAACTATTTATCTGCCCAAGACTTTGATATAGAGCAAGATAACTCAACAGTCACCACTAAAAGATTTGGTGTATATTCAAGGTTCTCAGAGAATAGTAGAATAGTACAGAGGAATGATTTTGGTGACACCCCCCGAACTTTTAGTTGGCAAGGTCAGTTAGAAAGGTTAGTTGTGCAAAGTTGCCAGCAAAGTTGTGGTGTCATGCACCTTTTTTAGAATGGATATCTTTCACATTTGTGTGAATTGGAAAGTGGTCTCAGACTTTTGGACTGCAGAGCGCTGTATTTGTGTATAATACCTGCTGCACAGACTCCATCTATGTAGAAGTACTGGCTGTTGAACTAGGTACTCGGCTCTCATTATGAACATATACCACCTCCCCTGGCTGCCAACATAAATGCACTGCAGCACTGATCCACACTGAATATGAATGGAGAGGAAGTAAGACTAGACCTGTAGATCACTTACAGCAAAAATTGGCCACTGACGATGGAAAGTAGCATAAATTGCAATTCAAAATGCAGACTACACCCATCCAAACGTCAAAAGGAGCTTCTTTGTATGAAGAGCACATCTGCTGGGGCAGAACAGTCATCCTTTTTTCCTTTCTACTTTAATTTGTGAGCTTTAATTTGTGAGCCTCTGGGCTCCAGCTCCAGTTTACGCACACACAGGAGACCAAGAGTCATCTTCTTTCAGCAAGAAAATGAATAAGCATATTTTCCAAAAATGTTGAATGTTGAACTATACCTTAAATGTTGTCAAGGGAATTTTTTAGAGGTGCTGAGCTGCCAGTGTAATAATGATGCAGTGGGTATATACAGTGTGTCTTGTCCATAATAAAAATGTACAAGAATTTAAGCCTTACATGTAGATGTACTCAAAAGTCAATGTGTTATATTTGACAAAGAAAATGTGTCGCATTAATTGTAATATACAGATGCAATGGACTAAATATCTATGATTGTGTGTTTGCTTTGGTAGAGGTGGTCGTGAAGAGTTCTCCACCTGCACCAGTGGAGATCCTCCCATCTAATGCAGGCCAGGACATCGCCCCCACACAGTCAACTGGTAAAGATAAAACATTCCAGAGTCTTCATATTCTTTTCACTTCTAGTTTACCCAGTTAAAGTTGCGCCAGCTTTTTGTTAAGCTGTGTGAGCTGGCTTGCTGAAATGTCAATCAAAAAACCAATAGTAACTTCATTGCAGACTAGAAAATAAGTCCAAGGAAGAGGCTGATAGTTTGAAAAATATAATTATTTCAATACATCAGAGATCAGACTGTCAACAATGTTTCATTGTTTAAAGCAGCTGAGATTAATGGATCAGAGTTGATCATATGAAATGAAAAGAGGAATTCTCTCTGCTCCCTCAAGTGGATTGGGAGATTATAATGATTCTACTGACATTCATTGATTGTTGTCATGAAATGTTGTGACATGGTCTTTTAGAATGTGGGTAAGACGGCACACAAGGATAGTTAGTTAGGGGGAAAAGATCTATCTCAAGCAGTGTCTGACAGGGAGCATGATCCTTTTTCGTAAAATAAGGATTTATGCCTGAAATAATGAGACAAATAAAGAATTTCTTGAGCATTAGTGAGAATGTCACCACAGTTACATAAACAGCTTGAATTGAAGAAAACATGGTGAATGACTGTTTTTGTTAAAATGTTAATTAAAATCCGACAAAACTAATGAATCCTATGACTTCACTTCTCTTCATTTAATTGCATTCTCCCTCGGTTGCTTGAGGCTACATTGTGGTGCCTGTTGTGAACTTGTGGTTCTTTAATGTAGAACAGTTTACTTGTGGTACATTAATTGTATGCTGTGCTTCCTTCAGCTTTTTTAAATATTTTGTGAGACCCATTATTAGCTCTTAAACTGCTTCTACATTCATACTTCTCTCTCTCTCTTTTCGGTCACAGAGGTGGATGAGTGCCAGATCAACCCTTACATTTGTGGCCAGGGGATTTGTTACAACACCAATGAGGGCTACACCTGCCACTGTGATGAAGGATACCACCTGGATGATGCCCAAACCACCTGTGTTGGTGAGGTGTCCATTGGTCACAGTCAGTTGAGGTCAAAGGTCATCTTCTACAGCTGGCTGGCTTCAATTATACCAAGCTATGTCTGCAGAGAGTTTGAAGCTTTCACAGTTTTTGTTTCAGACTCACAGTATCTGACTTCTCTGTCATGCTAAGATAAGTCTGTCCTATACATACGCAGTTGTGTGATTTAAAAAAAAATCTGTGCTCAAAAGATAATAAGTAATTCGGAAAGGTCATCTTGAAAACAAATTCAAGATGACCTTTCCTAATTACTAGACACTTGTTAACTGACAGTTAACCATTTACAGAGTAGACGAGTGGCACATGAAACAATTTTTGTGAAAAAAGCAAGCATAAACAATACAACATGAGGATTCACATAACATCACACATCTGCAGCTGCTGTGAATAGAGCAACATGCCAACAAAGTTCACCATTAATTGCCTTGACCGAGGCTGCTGCCATTGTCAATTCATCCCACTACTCTTGCATAATGCTCCAGACTTCTCATGAAAACATAAAAACCTCAAACTAACCCTCTCTTACTCACTGTTCATTAGCAATTATGGGACTTCCAGCTCATCCATAAAGTTTTATCCATCCTCAGCAGGCAGACAGAGCACAGAGTAATACCTGCATTCCCTTGTCACTCAGTTGTCACCCACAAGAGTGTGCTGCATGCATGTTCAGTGGGCGATCACAAGAATCAACATGTTCACACGCTGTGGGTTTATTGACCTCATAAGTGTCCAGCCTATAAGAAAGCATGCCTGATTAAAAATACTTCCATGATAGTTAAACTTCCTTCTGATGGGTGAATATAACTTCACATCCAGTAGGACACTGAGGCTGTCATTTTTTATCTATATATCACAATTGATTTAACTGTGGACCTCTCTTTTATTACACTGTAAATGTCTTATTGCAAAATGACATATGCTGACATTAGTAGCCACAGTAATTACTTATGTTGATCATTTCAGTTCTGACTAATGTTGTATGCTGTGTGCCGTCCAGATTTAGATGAGTGTTTGGAAAGCCCATCTCTGTGCGTTGGCGGTCACTGCAAGAACACAGAGGGCAGTTTCCTGTGTGTGTGTCTATTGGGATTCCTGGTTGATGAAGAGGGAACCAGTTGTGTTGGTAAATAACTTCTGCTTATTAATAGTTTGATGTTTTGATTTCTCATACATGAACCCTTATACATACACACATATGTAGCACACACCCAACAGTTGTAGAAGATTCTGATGAAAGTGATACTTTATTGTTTATTTCTATATTTGATCAATCAGTATTTGAATTCATTCAGTTGGTGTTGAGACACTTGTCTGACTACCATTTAATTAAATAAAACGTGTTGAGGATGAGCTCTGTACATTTCACTTTTATTTTAATTCCTGTTACAAACAGAAAAGAAAAACACAAACTTAATTTTAAGAAGACCTTTCCTTCGACTGGAAATAAACAAGACCAAAATTCTACAGCCTTGTCAGCAGCAACCTGTCACACTACAGTGTTCAGCAAGGAGGCTGAGGCAAAACAATTCTTAGTAATTTTCCTTTGCTCTGAGCCTTACCAGTTTTTTCATTGTTACCTTCATGAAAACTGGAGTCAAATATAACTAAGAAAAAAACTAAACAAAAGTAAATTATGCCTGAATTCTTATATCCAGACTCTTCTCCTTTCCCTCACCTATATACCATTATGAAGTGGAATCATAAAGCCTTAGGATTAGTCATTCTGACTTGAATGAAAGATTAAAAGCCTTTGCACCAATTTGTGTCTTAGAGAGACAATGTGTGTGTGGTTCCACATCTTTGCAATCCTGCGATCTAGGGCTTTAGCTGACTAATCCTGTTGTCAGCCAGCATTCATTATTTTTTTCCATGGGCTATTAAGCAAGACTCTTTTGAACTATAAAAGTTTTGAACAGGGTTCAGTGGGACTGCGATGCTTACATAATATAAAACATTTGTTTTGGCAACAATATTGTAGTGTTATGATGAATTTCACTGGTATTGAAGGTTTTCCAGCTTTTATCGGGAATAATTCAGATAATGTAATTATTGAATCCCTCTTAAATCAGAAGCCTTACTTTCTGTTCTCTACTTTGAAGGAACACAAAGGTAACAACCACATACAATAAAAAAATATATTTGTATTATTTATTTATTTAAAATATGAGATTTATTAACTGATAAATGGAAGTCACCTAGTGCCGATTATCTGCCCAAATAATCCTTAAGTGTGAGGGGTTTAATGTTAATGATTGAGTAGGAGCATCCCTGATCTAGAATCATAGATATCAAGTTATGTAGTATGATGACAACAAACATCTTCTATCTTTGACTTTCAGGGAGCAGCACTAATCATTTAGCATTAATAAAGCATAAATGTTCCCAGCATGATTTTGATCTTAGAATTAGATTTTTTATGTACAAAAGGTTTTGCTAGAAGAAAGATCAAGGGGATAACTGAAAATATTTGAATTCTTTCTTCGACCGTGAATGTCTTTCTCCATGAAAAATCTTCCCCAAGGGTCAAAAAGCAAATGTTTCTGGCAATCAAGCAGTCCAGATACTATATCAGATTGTGGACAGAGTGTGTTGGATGGAGATATGGACAAATTGATAAGGACACTATGCATGGTATGTACAGCCACAGCCTCTGATGCTGGTCAGTATTCGGTCAAATACTTTGGCAAACATCAGCTCAGCACACTAAGTGCATACTATTAGAATTAGAAGTCTATGGAATTTTGGACAACACCAGCGACCATACTGTTAAGCAGTGTCTGCACCACCCTCCTCCCTACTTCGCCCCCTTATTGGGATATAAATATGAAGCACTCTGTCATTACGTGGTTTCCTGACATTTCAACGCAGTTTTTCCCCACCCACCAAAATGATACTGAATTAGGACTGTGAGGGCAAACAGGCCTGATGGTTATTTCCTCTGAACTGCAGTAAAACTCTCCTCCCTTCAGCTGTGGAGGGATCAGGGATATGACTTTTTTGAGAGGCGTGTGCATGCTGATATACAACCATAATAGTTACATTTAAAAACAGGCTCAAGAATTTTTTGATATGTTTTTTAATTCATAAAAAGAGTTATTACACTGTGGGGCAAACTCAACAAAGCAGATTGTCCTACCATACATATTTAATAACTGAACCTGCTTGCATTGGTGCTGTTATTACGTAGAGTTATAGTACTGTAGTACTGTTTTATTGGAGTCAGTGCTCATTTTCAGAATGATCAAATTCTAATACTGTACATTCATAGAGATGAAGCAGGTGCTAGCATATTAATGTAAAAGGGTTGTACTTGGGATTGGTCAACAAAATTACACATATTGAAAAGAAAATGTACATTTTCAATCAAAGAAAAATATTTGCAAAAAGATAAATAATTGTTTTAATGAGAACATAAAAACTTTTCCAGCTGCAGAGTAGAAACATAATAGAAACATAATATTTTAAGAGCTGTAGTTACCTATAGTCATGATTTTAACTATTTTTCTCAAGTCCTCATGTTCACCTAAACCACCACTCAATTACACGTGCGATGGAGCAGTGTGTAAACATAGGTTTCAACTCAGACATTTCTGTTTTCATAGCTATGTGTATTGCCACATATGAAAGGCAGGGACTGTTGTTGTGTTTTGTCCCTGATCTGATCTTTCCATTACATCACTAATAGCTTTTTGCTGTGATGAGGCAATAGGAGAGGAATTGTGGTTGGGCTTTGCTTAAGGGTCATTAACATTTTTACAACATCCTTCACGGGCCATCATTTAATGACCTCTAGATTTTAGAGTACTTGTTTCAATTGCTTTTGCCTGCAATATTGTATTTATTATTCATGTAAACCACTGAAATTTTTGATCTGTGAAAGATAAAAATATTACGTACTTTCCTTTTTTTTTTACTTTTCTGATGCAGTGGCAGAAAGTTCTCGTGTTTAGCAAGGTGTCTGATGTCTTATGATAGCGAAGATCCTGCTACTTACAGCTTGTTTTAGCCAAAACAACTTGTTCAAACAAATCCTCAGCTCTGGTAGTATCATGCATGTTACAAAAATGTCTCGTTTAATGCTGCTTGTTTGTCTGCTTCATCGCAGGAAATTTCCTGCTGTGCTCTTGAGCGTTTTTTCACTATCTTGTCTGTTTAGTCATGTCGTCTGCCCGAAGACAGTTCTATGAGACAAACTAATGCTTTAGGACAATTTTACTTTGTCCAGTTCTAAAAGTTCTTCTGCACAGGGTTTCAACACCTTAGCTATTAGCTCGCTCACCACAGGACATGGATATGCACAGACACATTCATTCATGGAAGGATAAGCTTGGACCACAACACACACAACTGAATTCTTTAATCAGTTTGCAAAAACTCCATGATACATACAAACAGTTATAGGGTTCTTTTATCTTAATCTTTATCACTGGTATGCAGACTACAAACAATTTTAATCAATCTTAATTTTGTTAAACAGGTGTTGTGAAGGCCAGCATTTATCAGATTAGAATCATAGCTAAATTAATAACTAAATCAAAGTGTTTATTTAAAAAGGAAATAAAAATAGTCATCCACGTTATCATCTCTCATCTTGATTTCTGCAACTCTCTGAATATACAGTAGGTTTGATCAACTCCATCCTCTCCTGATTACAAATGGTCCTTTGGTTTCCAGTTAAATCCAGGGTTGATTTTTATAATGAAGTATTTGTTTATTAAACGCATTACATTGCTGATCTCCTGATCTCATATTCTGCCCCCAAGTCACTGAGGTTATTCTTACAGCAACTTTCAGTCTTAAAACTTATGTGGACCACATTTTCTCTGTAACTGCCCACAAGCTCCTGGTCCTCTCCCACTGTCTCATTTTAAATCGAATTTAGAATAGTACCCTTTTATTTTCTAGCTTTTGATTTTAATCTTAAATAATCTTACATTTTAAAATTGTATCCAGTTTATCTTATCTTTTGTGTCTTTTGAATGCATTTGTTTTGGTGGATTTCTCTTACATTGATTCATCTGAGTTTTTTTTCTAGATTTCCACAGTTCTCCTACACAGTTGTCATTCCTGTGTGATAGAATTCTTTTTGAAAGATTTTTCACATTTTTTTCAGATATCGATGAATGTATAAACACAACAGTGTGCCCCTCTGGAATCTGTTTCAATGTGCCAGGGAGTTACAACTGTGGCTCTTGTCCTGATGGCTTCGTGGCACAGGGAGGCCAGTGTGTAGGTAGGTTTAAGTGCACTGTATGTGTGTATGGGTACAGTGGATTCAGTTAGTTTCCACACACATTCACTATCTACACTTTGTAATCACAGATTTACTCTTGAAAGGGGAAAAGTACCATTTTTTGTCTACATATAATAACCAATATTATGACAAAATAGACATAG